ACATGCTTGAATCTGCCCGTTTTTGTGAACCTGAGGGATGGACCACTGGATGGACCTGGTTCATGTCTGAGTTCCTTTGTCAGTCTTCAAAACTAACCTTTACTTGGGCCAACATTCGCAAATGCGAAACCTGGGGGAATTCTGCTGGGTTCGCAAATGCGAACCCAAGTTCGCATTTCCCACATCTGCAACCTGCATATTTTACACTTAGCCGAATATTTGAGTCATTTTAACATTCTTTCAAAACACAAACCTCTTTGGGCGATTTTCCAAGAACAAGACTTCTTCCAAATCATTTGTAAGTTGGTTTTTACTCATTTCTTTCAGTCTTTAACATCATTTAACATGTTTTGAACTTAAAATCAATGATTTTCATGGGTGAAATGGGGTTTTGGGTAGAACCTAGGTTTTCTAAAAATTGGGGATTTGGACCTCAATTTGAGGTTCGATTTTAAAACAAATTGCATCTTTGAGTTCGTGGGGGAATGGGTAACCGGATTTTGGTTCGAACCTCGGGTTTTGACCACGTGGGCCCGGGGGCAATTTTGGAATTTTTGGGAAAATTTTTGGGAAATTTATTTTTATGCATTCAAAATTGATTCATTTAGTGTTTATTAAAGTAATTAAGTGAATTGTGACTAGATTCGAGCGGATTGGAGGTGGAATCGCGGAGTAAAGCTATAATTGAGGCTTGAATTGTATTCAAGGCACTGAGGTAAGTGTTTGGTCTAACCCTAGCTTGAGGGACTAGGAGTTGAGTCTTATTTGCTAATTGCTTCTTGTCGAGTACGACGTATAGGCATGGTGACGAGTATCTATACGTTGGTGTCTAGCATGACCGTGAGTCTTTAAATTGTGAATATCTTGATTTCGTTGTATTCCTCTTACCTTGGTGATGATTCCTATTTGTTGTGGAAAGCTTGTGAAAGGAAATTGTGACCTATGAACATCGAGGAGCATTGGCTCAAGTTATATCACACATGTGAAAGTATATGAAATGATTAAACCCCTTTGGAGCATTGGCTCAAGTGGTAAAGTGAGATATGAAATAAAAGTGAAAGAAAGAGGAAGAGTATTTAAATTGCTCCCTTGCCGGCCGGGACGTTGAGATTATTGATGTTGTACCCTTGCCGGGATTTAATTGTTTAATTGTGTTCCCTTGCCGAGATTTCTATTATTATTTTATTTATTCCCATGCCCCTTGTTTGTGATTGTAGTTTGGGTGAGGAAGAGTGTAAAGCACGAAGGGTGATGCCGTGCATTGTTTGCTATTGTGAGGAAAGAGTGTAAAGCACGAAGGGTGATGTCGTGCATTATTTGTTATTGTGAGGAAAGAGTGTAAAGCACGAAGGGTGATGCCGTGCATTGTTTGCTATTGTGAGGAAAGAGTGTAAAGCACGAAGGGTGATGCCGTGCCGCACGATGTACCATTCCGTGCCAATTCTATTAATTATATGTGAGGAAAGAGAGTAAAAGCACGAAGGGTGATGCCGTGCACATTTTATTATTCTAATTGCTTGGTGAGGACGAGAGTAAAAGCACGAAGGGCGATGCCTGCACTTGTCTTTGATTTTTTCCTGATTTGTGCTGATAATTGAGTTATATTGTCCTCTACTTCTATTTATTGATTTTCTTGTTGTTATCGGTTCAGGTGCATTAGTTGTCTTATTCCACTATTACTGAGTTTCTTTATGTTGGCATTTTCCTTTATTGTGTTACTTGTTATTATCGGATCAAGGTATCCTTGCGCAACATTATGCTTTGAAATTAGGCTATAATTGCTACATGTTTATGTGATTTAATTGCTACTTGACATTTAGCATACTAAATATTAAATTGCCTATTTGCTCCTTAAAGTCCATAATTAACTGCTACTTGTCATTACTTGTTTTCTTTAGTGAGTCATAATTATTGTGTACTTGTTGTCTTATGAATTCGTATAAATTATTGAGTTTGTTGGAGTAAATTTCATTTGGAAGAACTGTTGATTTAATAAAATGGGAGCGGGTGGTACGCCAACCACGAGATTTAATAAAATGGAAGTGGGTGGTACGCCTACCACGAGATTTAATGAAATGGGAGCGGGTGGTACGCCTACCACGGAAACATTGAGAAATGGGATCGGGTTGCACGCCTGCAACGAGATATGTTTTGATAGTGAAATCTGCTTTTATTTCCCTTATCCGTGTTAGAGTTAAATTATTGATGTTCTTTATTATTTTCTTAAAATTCTGTATTATCTGCTATCCCCGAAGCATGTTCCCCTCCCATTTAAAAATGTTTGTTCTTGCTATTTTCCCGTTGTAGATGCACATATATAACTGCACAGGTTTATGTGGTGGTCCAGTCTAGCCTCGTCACTACTTCGCCGGGGTTAGCCTAGACACTTACCAGCACATGGGGTCGGTTGTGCTGATACTACACTCTGTGCTATTTTGCACAGATCCAGGTTTCGAGCAGCAGCAGCCGTAGTGTGGGAGCAAGCTTCATTTCAGTGAGACCCGAGGTAGCCTTGCAGGCGTCCGCAGGCCCGGCGTCTCCTCTATCCTTTATTTTATCTGTTATCTCATTGTATTCGAGACAAACAGCTTATGTTCTCTTTCAGATGTTTGTATGTAGTATTCCTAGTAGTTCGTGAGTACAGTGACACCAGTCTTGGGTAGAGGATTTTGTTGAACTTTCCGCATTCTATTCAGTTTTATAAAATGTTAAGACTTCCCCTTATTATTGAATTTTGTTGCTTTGTTTTATTGTCGTAAATTGTTAAAAATGGATTAGCTTATTTAATGGTCAAGTAATAAATGTTGGCTTGCCTAGCTCTCATTAGTAGGCACCATCACGACTCCCGAGGGTGGAAAATTCGGATCGTGACAAATACCGACACATGGCTTTTGTACATGATTTCGAAGTTCAAACAGAGTAAGCAGAATGTGTTATTAATACTTATTAACAGTTTAGGATAATATTTATTTTTCCTAAGACATTATTCTGATACTTCGACGTAAAAGAAATAAGATGAACAAACATATTTTAAAGGAATTAAATTAATATTATAATATTGTTTTGCTATCATTTGGTCATGAGAAAGGAGGAATAAGTGTTCAAAGTTATTTCGATACTTTGACATAAATGAAATAAAATTAACGAGGAATAAGTGTTCATAGTTTGCTATCGTTTGATTATTAAAAAGGAAGATAAAGTGTTCAAAGGTTCTTTTTTCTTTTTCTATTTGATATGTTGCAAAGTTTTCGAAAAAGTAATTATCACAACAAAAATCGATATATTATCCTTCTTATACAATTTTGAAGGAATTATTATAGTTCAATAATTCCTAACTTTTAGTCCTAAATTATGAGATACGTTTTTTTTAAAAATTTATGTAAAAGAGGTAGAAAAAGTCAAAGTTGTATGATTACAGTAAACTTCATAAGTTCTAAATATTAAGACATCTTACATAATCCAATTAAGGAAATATTTAATAACTAAAATTTTAGTCGATTTCACACTACTAAATATTAGAAAAATAACTAAATTATTATTTTGTCCAATATAAAATCTATTTTTAAAGGATAAAATAGGCGAACAATATCTTGTTAAGGGGTTTCGTATAGATTAATTATGGATTATACATTAATAGGGATCTTTACACAAATAGCCGTCGAATTTACTACTTTTTTTTTTCCAGCCAGTATACATGGACTATACAATGATTATACACGATTATATACATATTAATTTATGGATTTTACATATATTGTACATACGTCAGCTATTTTAAGTTTAAACGCTTGAGTAGGTGTATTTAAGTTAATTTTCCTTGTTCCAAAGTTAATGTGTTTGGCTAGTCTTTTAAAAGAAGAAAATGCTCTTGAGTAGAAGCAAAAGCTACTTTTGTCCTAGTCCTTTTTTCTCTCAGCGCACGTTTGGTGCTAACTAACCCGCGCCTCGCCGGAAATGGGGGAAAGAGGACGACCTAGGAAGAACACTAGCAAAACACTAATGGTAGAAAGGAAATTAACTGATCTTAGCGCAAGAGTAAGGAAAACAACCATCAAAAGCAAAAGAGAAAATGCAGGAGGATGAAGATCTGGATCTGGAAAGTGATGATGAGCTAAATTAGCCAGATCTGAGCAACACAAGAGTAAATTTGACAACGCCGGTGAAGCCAGTCACCATTGCGACACCGATGATGAATGCCGGAGCTAAAGGAGCACATGCGGCAATGATCTCAGCTGGGGGTGCGAGTACAAGCAAGCCACCAAGCAATGGAACAGTAAAAATTGATGCACCAAAGGAGCAGAGCAGAACTTCAATTGGAAATGAGAAGAGCATGCAAGAGTTGAAAGCAACACAAAGTGAAAATGGGGCAAGGTCGTGGGCTGGTTTATTTAGTGAGAACAAACTTGCCGCCAAAGGTATGAACCTATCATATATCCCACCGGTGATCCAGGATGGCGAAGTAGTTGTTCAATTACTGGATGAAGACATTGCTGAGGAGCAAAAGAAATGGAACCGAGCTATAATTCTCTATGTGGTAGGAAACACTCCAACAATTGGGGCGATTGAGCGATTTATAGAAAACCAGTAGAGTAAAGCCAGGAAAGCAAAGGTATTGTTTCACAATGATGGGTATTTCATAGTTTTGATGAATGGATGTGAAGAAAGAGATGAAGTAATATTGAATGGACCGTATACTATGAACATCAGACCAATTATCATACGACCATGGAAAGAGGGGTTTGATCTTAGTGAGGAGATACTCAGAACCATCCCTCTATGGGTAAAATTCCCTAAGTTACCACTTAGCTACTGGAGTAATCAATCATTAAGTAAAATTGGGAGTGGTTTAGGGAAGCCTCTATATGCTGATGCGTGTACTACCATAGCCGATAGAGTCTCGTATGCAAGGATGTTAATAGAAATGGACATTACTAGATCCTTACCAGGATCAATAAAACTTCATGATCCTAAGGGAATGGTGATTGAGCAGATAGTACAATATGACTGGAAGCCCCAATATTGCCAAATATGTTGTCAAATTGGTCACTCATGTAATGATCAACAGAGACAGAACAAAGAGGATGGACAATAGAGAGGCAATAATCAAAAGCTAAAGCAAGAATGGAGAATAGCAAGGGTCCTTGATCCTAAGGTGGACAGAATTGATGCTCATAGAAGACTCATGGAACAATTTGAACCAGATGGAGAAGCTATGCCTAATCAACAAGGAAAAGATAAAGAATGGCAGGTTGCTAGAGGAAAATCAACATCAAAAAAGCAAATGGAAATCAAACAGAGAGGATGAAGTAGACATTGGAAATGCCTTTAAAGACATAATTGACACAACTCAAAAAATTGTGCAACTGTCTGAAACACAGGGGACAAGAGGGCAGAGAAGAAGAAATGAAGGTGATGGGGATCCCAAAATAAATATTATAGCATGATGAATATCATAATATGGAATGTTAGGGGTATGAATAAAGTCTATAAGCAAAAAAGCACTAAAAATTTTCTGTTGGAAGAATAATGTAGTATTAATAGCTATACTGGAGAATAGAGTCAAGGCTAATAAAGCTGAACCAATAATGAGGAAGGTGTTTGGCAATTGGCAATGGACTACTAACTATGATGAGGCGCCTGGTGGCAGGATTTGGGTAATTTGGGACCAAACAAAGGTGGAGTTTGAGGTTAAACAAGTCCATGAACAATACATAGCAGGACATGTGGTTTTGAGGCAACGCAACAACAAGTTCATATTTGTTGCAGTGTATGAAAAATATAGCATACAGGACAGGAAGAGTCTGTGGACTGACTTGAAAGGAACTATGAGTGGAATACAAGACCCAAGCTTAATAATAGGAGACATTAATAGTATTTTGTCCATAGAAGATAGAGTGATGGGGAATCCAATACAAGAAGGGGAAGTGACAGACTTCAAAAAATTCATAGCTGATGTTGGACTAGTTGAACTCAAAACAATAGGGAGGAACTACACCTGGACAAACAACCATGTCCATAGTATAATAGATAGAATACTTGCCAATGCAGAGTGGATACAAAAATGGCCTAATATGGAGGGAACTATTATGCAACCAGGTTTTTTAGATCATTGCCCTCTAATGGTAAATGTTGCTGAGCCTACTGGGATGGGAAAAAGACCATTTAAATTCTTTAATTGCTTAGAAGCTCATCATAAATTTGATGATATAGTCAGTCAATGTTGGAAGAAGAGAATTAGGGGAAATCCAATGCTGAAGGTGTGGTACAAATTAAATCTGAAAAAAGATTTGAAGCAATTAAATAATAAAGAGTACAACAGCGTGGGGCCAAAGATCCAAGCAGCAAGGAACAAACTGATGAACATTCAAATGGGAATGGCATCTCTAGAAAATGATGATGAAGTAATAGCACAAGAGAAGGAGACAAAAGTTGAATTGGCAAAATGGATGGAAATGGAGGAAAGTATTATGAAGCAGAAGGCAAGAATCAAATGGCTTAAAGTAGGGGACTCTAACACAGCATATTTTCATGCTTGTGTAGAAAATAGGCAGGCAAGAAATCACATAGGCAGACTGATGGACAACACAGGACAACTTCTACAAAGTGTTAATGAAGTAGAAGAGGAGATCCTAAGCTTCTACAAAAAATTACTTGGTACAGCAGCCTCAACATTACCAATAGTTGATCCAGATGTTATGCAGAATGAATACACTCTGAATAGGCAGCAACAAATGCAGTTAATCAAACTAATTACTAAAGAGGAGGTGCAGAAAGCATTACGGGACATTGATGATAGCAAGGCACCAGGATGTGATGGATATAACTCCCACTTTTTCAAGAAAGCATGGAACATAATTGGAGAAGAAGTTATTAAAGTAGTGCTGGAGTTTTTTTGAAACTACTGAAATGTGCAAAGCTATAAATTGTACAACTATCACCCTGATCCCTAAAGTAAAGAATCCAACCAACATCAAGGAGTTCAGGCCTATCTCTTGCTGCACAGTTCTATACAAGATGATATCAAAGATTTTAACTGCAAGACTACAGGAAATTATGCCAGACCTCATAGATAATTGCCAAACAGCTTTTGTACCATGAAGGATGATTACTGATAACATTATCATGTGCCATGAATTGATCAAAGGGTATGGAAGAAGGAGCATATCACTTAGATGTATGCTTAAAATTGATATGCAAAAAGCATATGGCTCGGTGGAATGGGTATATATTGAACAAATGATGAAGTTACTAGGGTTCCCTAAGAAGTTTGTGCGATGGATAATGGTGTGCATAAGTACAATAGCCTATACTGTAATAATCTATGGACAACCAACAAAACCTTTTGAGGCAAAAAAGTGGCTTAGGCAGGGTGACCCTTTGTCACCAGTACTGTTTGTAATAGCAATGGAATATCTGAGTAGGCTGTTGAAGTCTTTAAAGCAGGAAAAAGAATTCAAATACCAACCTAAGTGTGCTAAAGTCAATTTAGTACACTTAGGTTTTGCTGACGATTTGCTACTTTTTTGTAGAGGAGACATACAATCAGTACTGGCATTACACCAACAATTTAAAACTTTCTCTAGAGTATCAGGGCTAATTGCAAATCCAAACAAGAGCTGCATCTACTTTGGCGGTGTGGATATCATGACTCAAAAGAAAATCATGGACATGTTGGGGTATAGTAAGGGAGAACTACCCTTCAGATATCTAGGGGTACCATTGAGCACTAAGAAACTATCAATAATCCAATGCGAGCCTCTAATCGATCGAATGCTGAGTATAATACAATGCTGGACAACAAAGTTTCTAGGAAGAGCAGTGTTAATTAAGAGTGTACTGGTTACAATCCAAAACTTCTGGGCTCAGATTTTCATCCTTCCTAAGAAGATCATTCAGTTCATCAACACTATATGCAGAAGATTTTTATGGTCAGGCAATGCAGAACCTACAAAGAAGGCACTGATTGCATGGGAAAAACTATGCTGGCCAAAGGTAGCAGGTGGCTTCAACTTCATCAATGTGGAGCTATGGAATAAAACAGCTATCTGTAAGCTGCTATGGAATATATGCAAAAAGAAAGACAAGCTCTGGGTTCAATGGTTCAATATATATTACATAAAGGGGAAACCAGTATGGGACACAACACCAAAGAATGCATCACGGGTCATACAACAGACTTCAAGGCAAGAAAGTATTTTGACACTGCTGGATATACAGAGGAGGAGGTGAAGAGGATGGAAAATTTCTCTATAAGGCACATGTACAATGCTATGCAAGGGGAATTTCAGAGAGTACCATGGAGGAGATTAATCTGCAACAACTATGAATTACCGAAGTGGAAGTTCATTTTAAGATTGGCAATACAGGAAAGGCTAGTCACAAAAGAAAGGCTAGCAAGATGGGGGATACAGATTGATACCGCATGCTCACTATGTTAAAGAGAGATTGAAACAGTACAACACTTATTTTTTTGAATGTGACCTGACAGCAACCATATGGCAGCAACTCTTAAAATGGAAAAGAATCCAAAGAACAAAGTTAGGCTGGAAGGAAGAGCTGGCATGGATAGAAAGAAGAGCTAAAGGTAGAATTGGAGGAGCAGAACTATGCAGAATGTCCTTAGCAGCAAGAGTTTATCATAGGCAAGAGAGGAATAATGTTATTTTCCAACAAAAAAATAGACCAACTAAACCCACAATCAGATCAATCATCCATGAAATTCATGTTAGAGCTGCCATATTCCCTAGGGTAGGAAGGACTATAAGCACTTTGAATTGGTACCCTGATGTAATGTAACAGTGCTAATTAAACATAGAAATGGAGAAGAGTAGGAAGGGTAGTAAAATTCTAACTGGGGCTGCATGTCCAGTGGGAGTATAGAAAGCAGGAAGTTCAGTTTTGACTATGCTGTAAATATTTGCACTTGGTAAATCAATCCATTTAATTACCAAAAAAAAAAGCTACTTTTGAGCAATATAAAAAATAGTTTCTCCCTAAAAGTGCTTTTCACAAAAGTACTTTTGAGAAAAATACACATAAAAATACTTTTTAAAAATTTGATCAAAACATACTAGATGCTCAAAAGGGATTTTAAATTAATTAATTAAATATAAAATATTTCTCACCAAAATATATTTTTAAGTAAATTAATGTTTAGCCAAACGCCGTAAGACTAACCCGTACTATTACTAAGTTGGTTATACCGTGTGAAATGGAATGGTAAAGGCTACTACATAGATCCCAAATTGTACTATATCTGATCCAATGGGCCAAAGTTGTTATCCAGTTGTTACTTCCTAATCTTGTCCCTTTTCTATAACAACTAAGATCTCCCATATTGTGAAAAAACACTGCAGGGCTATATTGGTAATTAAAATAAAGATGGCTCATTCTCGTAATCATCGACGAACATATGACGACGTGCGTACGCTGAAGACAAAGTAAACACGTTAAATGTTACCAACCAAACACCGCAACACGTGTTTTGAGTTCTGGAAATGAAAATTCTCAGAATCAAAACCAAACAGAGAAAGATGCAAATACTGTTTTGGTCTCTCGTGAATATCTCAAAGGCTCGTGTCCGAACGCATTGGTACAAATGAAGAAAAAGACAAACTCATTATTTTCTTTTACTTCAAATGGGGATTTTTTTAATTAACAATAATAAATAGTAAATGGAAAATTTAAGAAAGAGGATGAGGTAAGTCTATACTCTACATTTAGGTGACAATATTTGGCTATAAGCGCAAATATTGAAGAATGAATGTGTTTAAGGCAGTGATGGTCCAATAATTAATGTAATTCTCTCATGTGTCCTATATGGGCATTGGCGTTCCAATTAATTCAAACTTGTGCCGTTTAACGTTCAATAAAAGATAAGGCGATAAGACATCTATCAAGAAAAAATTTATTCTCAAAATTTCAAATTCGAGAATTTTGATTAAAAGTGAAATAGTCTTATTTATCCACCATGATGATTTTCTTTTCTACTACAAATAGGGCGACTTGCATAATCACGAATTGTTAGTTTCTCTTACCCTTTTGAAAAAAATCTCAGTGCTCATACGTATGAATGTAACTATACATGGGAGTAAGGTTCTTTTTTCGTGCATGCATTCCTTTGTTTCTTTAATATTGTAATATAACCCTAGCTTTCATTTGTAATAGTTGGAAAATAATAAATGAGGACGAACAGTAAGTTTTTACCGTGAACTAATAGCAAGTTTTATTTTAATGAGAGCATATACTCTTTAGTAGTGCTTTACAAGAATTAATTTTTGGTTTACACAATTTCTTTTCAACAGTTCTGTACAATTATTTACACACCACACATGTATTGTCTATTTTTTCTTTTTCTTTTTTCAACACATGTGTTGTCTAATTCTCAAGAGCAGTAGTTTTTTTATAAGCATCAAACTAGAATTGTGGAAAATTAGTCTTACTAAACTATATAGAAATTAATACCACCGTCTCAAATTATCTGTCATGATTTCTAAAAATAGTTGTCTCAAATTATTTGCCATTTTAGAAGTTCAAAATAAAATTAATTCTTTTTTCTCATTTTACCCTTAATAGCAATTGTTCTTGAAGATAGAGATAGCATATAGATAGAGTAAATATTCAAGAAGAGAAATTATATCTTAAGACATAAATAAGGTTAAAATAATTCAAAACTCTTTTAATTAATATTTTTTGTAATGGACATGTAAAAGAGAAACACGACAAATAATTTGAGACGATTGAAATAATATTTCTAGACATTTTACTAATAACATAATAACGGCTAACATTTGTTTTTGCTCCTTCCGTTTTCACTCAAAATTCAAAAACATTGATGAATACTTCTTAAAAAAAGAAAAAAAAAAAATCAAAATTATGCATATTTTTGTTAGGTGTGAAACTTATGGGGTAAGAAGTTGGAGCATATGATGCATTTGGAAAATTCGTAATATTTTTCCTTCATAATTCGCCAGGAATTTGCAAATTCATGGTATATTGAGGCAATCTAATATGTCCAACTTAAACTTTCCACTTTTGCAAAGAAAAATAAGTAGTAAGGAAGAACAATAGGGAATTATTGATAATTTATTAACTGAAAATTCTACAGCTCTAATAGCTGCAATTATATTTACAATTACTCAGTTTTAATGTAAATTTCCACTCAAATACTGAATTAAGCTGGAAAATTTCCACTTAAAGCACTAAAATGGAATTAACATATTAAGCTGATTTTAACATATCCAGGCACACACACATTATAGTGCACATGACTTAATATATTTACTTTTTGCTATTTGGAGCTGGCTAAATAATTTTCCATTTGAATATAATTTCTTTTTACTGTTTTTCAAAAAATAAAAATATTGTCTGTTCATAAAATTTGATCAGATTTTCTCAATTAGGCTTGTTAGTTTTTGGGTGAAATTTTTTCTTTTTCACTAATAAATTTTTAATTTTTTTTCAAGTGAAATGCATATCTAAATATAACTTTAATTTTTTAAAATAATTTTAAAAATTTATTTTTTAAGTTTTAATCAAATAATCCGATTATAGAGAAAAAGGAAAAAAAAAAAGAAGAAGCTAAAAATGGACAAAAATATCAAGGATACCTTCTTTACTGCTTCGTAGAAAACGGCAAAATAATAAAAGGGAAGTGTCTATATTTATCGTAACAGTTTAAAGAGAGCATAATCTCCTTACTATCCCCACCCACTCTTTCCCATTTACAAGACTACTACAATCCCATCTCTCTTGTTGAAATTGAAAATTGAAAATTGAAAATAAAATAAAAATCCCATCTCTCTCCAATTTAGCATTTATAGCAAAAATATATTGTTACATTTTTCTCTCACGTTTAATAGAGAAAGAGAGAGAGATCTGAAGAAGTCTGACTCAT